CAAGAACATTATGTCATTTTAGGACAGAGACCCTATCATAAACTGAACATATTCCACAATATGTCTGAGGAAAAGGTTTTATGATTATTTCTCCAAAGAGCAGAAGTTTCTGCTTTCAGAAAAAAAAAAAAAAAAGGAAAATGCAAGGAAATAAGAGCTTTTCATAGAAAGCTTTGTATTACTCCACAGGAGGCTGAAAAACAAAATTTAACCTTTTTCAGGCAGCAAAAAATCTTTTCAAGTCTTGGTTGGCACTTTAAGCACCCTACAGGGCAGAGATGCAATTGGTAGAAGTTAGTTTGTATCTCTACTAGATACAAACAAATCTATCTCTTCTTTTATGAATGCATTAAATACATACAAACACCCTTAAACCTTCTCAAAAACAACCCTGGCTTGTAGGACAGCACTTTTGTAGCAAAACAAACATTGTGTGACCCTAACTTGGTAGGACTGTACGTCTGTATTTTTTGGAATGAAAGGAACCAGGTTTTACTGCTTTTGACTGACCAGGTTTTGTTGTATTGATGTGGATGAGGAGTTGGGTGGAGATTAAACTCTCATAATAAATCAGCATGCGATTCATCTCAAACCACACCAGAGTGTTTAAAATAACTTCATAATCCATCAGCTTCACTGGAGCTTCAACAGAGGAAGCTAATGATGGCATGAATGTCCAGCAGTAGTCCTGGAAGACAGTTTTGAGGAGTAAAGCAGGACTTGGAGTATAGACAGAAACAGAGATTGTTTTATCAGTGCTTCTGAAGGGATATACACAATCTAACCTCTTTAGTGTGCATTAAATCCATACTTACCTGTCTCCTCCTCAGGCTGGCAATGCTCCTAGTCCCTTCCACTGCTTCCAACTTGAGAGGCACTGAAAGGGCAGCTTCCACTCTTCCCAGCCTTTCACCCTGTGCACTCAGATGCTGCTCTGTTCACAGAACTGCTCTCTGAATACAGTTCCTAAACTCTCCCAACTTTTCTAACACTCAGATCAACTCTAATCTATATAAAAATAGAGCTTGCCATTATTATCTTCCTCTCCCATCTCTCCAAGTCAACAGCTCTATTAAATCCTTTCCTCTACTTATTCCTTCTTTTTTTAACCTGGGCCATAATAATCTAGGAGACATTTCTCTGATCTCTCAGGTGTCCCTTTCACTCTGCTGGATCACTTGTTTCAATAGCTTCTGTATGCTCAAAGACTCTGCCAGCAGCACATGCAACCACTGCATGTGAGCTAATTCTGTTACCAGCACACAGACAGGGCAAACACATATCCAGGCTGAGAATTTATGTACTTACTCCCTGGATGCAGGCACAGCACACATCTCTGCTGCATTGGCAAATGGTTATTCCTTGGAACAGGCCAATATTGGATATTGCTTAACTGCTACTGTTACAGGTACTGAGAGGGTTCACTTCCTTCTACTTACTGTTTTCCTTGTAAATATTCTGGTATAAGTTGAACAAGCTGATAAATGTGACACTTTTCCCTCATCCATTCAATTTCCAGAGTCTCTGGTCAGTTGAATGTGTCTTTTCAGGCCCCTGTCTTCATCAGCCTGTCAATCCCTGGCATTATCTCACTGCAACTTAAAGGCTTAGACACTTGCAGCTGAGAATAAAAGAAGTTTCTCTTTAATTTTATCAAAGAAACTACAAGTAATTCATAACTAAGATAATAAAAAAACTTGAAGAAACATTGTCCTCAAAGACCATGACAGCTTTGATAAATATTCTCAGTTCAGGGAAATTAGTGTGGTTATTTTTTCTGTTCTCTGATAAATTCATTAACCTGAAATATTTTTGTGATCAGATGAACCATGCAATTCTGTTGCTGGAAGATGGAAATAAGCACAGGTAGACTGAGGGACAGCAGGGCTTTTCCTGGTTTGCAGAACTCAGTTACAGCCACACACAGGGTAGAAGCCACTGTAAGGAATAAGCTAACCAGCCTGGACTCAAAACTGACACGCTTCAACAGCACAACTGGTTTTGTTGGCTAAATCAAAACTGAAGCTCTGACAGATTTATAAAACAATGGGCAAAATCCTGGTGGTGGTAGACCAATAATGGATCTTTTACTCCCTGCAGCCAGGACAAGATTTCCTGGCTTCAAGACAACTACTCTGCCAAAAATGCAAAAATAATATAGTTACGATTAAGAACAGTAGGAGAACCATCTTTTGCATTTTGGTTTATATTTAATCTAACCATAGCCCCACACATCTGTGCTAAAACATTTATCACTTCCCTTCTACCAAGAGATTGGACTTTTCTTCCTCTTTCTCACCTTATTCTGTAAAGTCCTTTAAATCACATCTCTCAAGATTACAGGAGCAGCTAGCACCTGTAACAGGACTGAAATTTCATCACTAAAGAGGCACAGATAAGCTCACATGAATTTTTAAACAAAGAGACTCAAAGTGAAGTCTACAGCAGATATTCCCTAGTGCAAAACAGCACCAACAAAGCCATAAAGGAACTTCAATGAAAATAAAATTAATACTACAACAGTTATTCATTGACACAATGTTTTATGAGACATCAGAAGAAGCAGGGAAAACAAAACAAAACCATAAGATACTTGGAAGTTCTGGTTAAATGTTTGGTAAAATCTATCACTGAAATTAGCAGTGCAAATAAATAGCTTTAAATAAATTAGTTTTCAGTCACAGATTCTATCCAAACACAGAATTCTCACCATCAGGCAGTTAAACTTTACATCTGCTGAAGAAAACTATGATAATAAGCCATTAAAGTCTTAATTCCTGGCCATCAGGACCAGTCAGGAGCTTTCTATCATTGCACAGGAGTGTATCATATAGAATATAAAAAATACACAGGTAAGCAAAGTGTGTCACAAACCCACTGCAATCTGTAGACACTAGAGAAGGATCAGATTATGTCCAGATTATACAAGGATATTTTACCCTAAGTTTTCATTTACAATGAAGTGTACAATAGCAATGTAAAAGAATCTTAAATTGACTGCCAAAGCAGCATGAAGGTCTCATAGATGAGGCAGGGAGTGACAGAAGAGAGCACTGATTTTTTACAGGCTGTTAAAGGATCCAACCTAACCTCAGCTGAAGTGGCACATTCTTATTTCAAGGCCTCGTTTATGGGATCAGATCCCAGTGTACAAATTTAGACCACACTTCTCCCCCAGTCCCACATTTGCAAACATACCTTTGCAATTTTGCAGTTTGACCCACTGAGAGCAAAAACATTTAGAATTTATATGGATATCAACCCCACAATTTACTGTGAAGCCTAAAATAACAAAGCGCTGGCCCTGTTCTCAGACAGCAATTAATCCCCTTTGAAGACTATGGACAGACTGAAAAATAAAAGCACGTCCTCAGAGAAGTCAGAAGACCATGATAGTCCATTGAAAGTCTTCTGTGGAGTCCCAACAGGTTCTGGATCAGGCCCCTATAACCCTCCAGAAAATGGCAACACCACCCTTTCACATGTCCAAGCATCAGAGTCATATGTCCAAGCATGAATGGAAATTCAATTTTGTGTTTACTCTACAGTCCACAACTCCTGCATCTGCACTCTCTTGTACAGCACTTTTTCAGCTTCTCCATTTTCCAGCAGAACATCGCAGTTTGCAGGGCAGTACAATGGCATTTAAATTTGTACCCAAGAATAAACCTGTAAAAAACAGCACAGTAATTATGCATGCATTGTTAATTACCAATATGCTTCCTGTTAACAAAATCTGAACATGCATGTGATGTTTAAATCTTAAACCTCTTCAGAGTCATGATCTGGATAACTCTTTCATATTCCTTTTTTTTTTCTTAAATAGAATTGCATCTCAGTCTCCATCTTTCCTGAACTCAGAAGCTTCTCAGTCCTCAAAGCTGCAGCAAGTAGATCTTACAATGTCAGCCCCATGTCAGACTTCCAAGTTGTCCCAAAACAGTGCACATTCTCTCCATAGTTCCTGCCTTCTGGCATTCAGCTGTGCACAGTCCAGACACACAATAAATGGAGCAAGCAGCAGTTGTTTTGTTTACTTAAAGCAAAGGGCGAACAAGCCCTAAATTAGGTCAGGAAGAATTTTTTTTCTCCTGGAAATCACAGAGTAATGTTCTTTTCCAAAGTTTTACCCCTCATCCTTACAAAATAAATATTACATTTTCTCAGTCACTATCCCAACATTATTAGAGTCCACGCATCGTTTTTCCTTCTCATTTCAGCATGCACAGTAGCAAACTCTTTTAAATGGCTTATTGAAAAGATCATAAAGAGAATGACTTCTCCATTCCCAAACCCCTTCTGGTGCTACTGTCCATTTCCTACTGCAGAGTGTACAGTAAGCTCAGAGCTGAACAGGACCAGGTGCCTTTTCAAATTCCTTTTGGAAGCTGGCTGATCACAGAATTTGACCTCGATGTTGCCATCACTGAATGCTTCCCTCCTGCCTTCATCAGAATCCATGTGATCTCTCTGAGATGCACTTGGCTTTTGCCTCCTCATAGTAATTCCTGAGTTGCCATGCTGCCTGCCTGGGGATGTGTTGTCTTTCATAATGCAGAAGCAGAGGGCAGACAGAAAATTTTTCTTGAAGTTCTCATTCATGAAAGCATACACAATAGGGTTGCAAATAGAATTGAAGAATCCTATGATCTGGACAATTGCAAAGATCATTTTGATTGTCACATCATCATACTCCTTCTCAAAATTACCTGGAGAGGAGAAGAGAGAGATGCTGTAGGCACAGAATGTCATAAATGCTTACTACTTAGCCTCTTTATATCCAGTTTGGTATTAGATGTTTTTGTTTAAAATCAACAAAAACCCATGCTGGAAGTTCTTAACATTAGCAATTGAGTTTCATCAACAAGATAAAATCAAGACTTATCACATGGTCCTGCTTTGTATGTAGGTGGTAACATAATCAAAAGAAAGAAAATTTATGAGCCAAAAAAGCTGACGAGCCGAACCACTGATTTATCTGCTACAATCTTATTTGTGATAGGAGACAAAGAAACAGATCCTGCCTTTAGCAAGTAGAGTACAACTACTGCAAATTTCCTCTTGCTCCTGCGCATAGACTGCTGCAGTATCCATGGAGGAGGTGGGAGATGAACAGTGGAATACCCCAGAGTATAAAAAAAAGCCATCACAACAAGCACTGAGGGCATTTCCAAGCCAGTTTTCAGCAAAGAGCACTGAAAAACTCCAGATGGATTCACTGGATGTCATCAATGTGAGGTCCAGTATTTGTATTTCCAATATGCCTACGTCAATAAAAGTGATAAATGTTCCATTTTAAGTTGAACTCAAAACGGTTAAGTTATATGAAATATAATTAAAAACTTAATGACATTTTATGCTCAGAAATAACTTTTATGTTCCAGCCAAGTCCCTTTAACCTTTCAGCAAATTAGGGCAGCATAAGAGATATGGCAAGAAAAAGAATCTACACAAAGATGCTCACCCCTCTAATAATCCTGTTTTTCATTAAGTCTTTTTTTATAAGCAAAACATCAACCTTTGCTATCAGAAGGTATTCTAGAGCTGAATGTTGTAGCATCATTAGCTTTTCACAATATGAAGTTCCATTACTAAAACAAAACCACAAAACCCTGGCTTTATTTTGTGAGATATGGCAGGTACTCACTGTACTCCATCATCATGTGAATCACATGGAAAGGGGCCCAACAGACTGCAAAGAGAAACACCACTGTCACCATCATAACAATTGCTCGCTTCTTCTTCCTGAAATTGCACCAAGAATTCCACACTGAATCACTGGAAACTGATCGGCAGTTACATCTCTCTCTTCAAGTTAGATCTGTGACTGTGTTCTGATGGCTGCAGATTCAAACAAAACCCTCAAGGAAAGCTCAGAAGTACACAATCCCCTTGGAAAGAAAAAAATGCATCATCATATAAAACTAGCACTTGATTTCTCTATTTTGGGACAGCAGAGCACTTTGCAAGACATTAGTATGTCTTGCAAGGAATTTTTAACTCTATTCAGGAAGACTAAAAAAGTCAGGAAAAAAGCCTTCTAGAAGTCCAAGTTCCAAGTGCATTTTGCTTACAAACCTTGATATTTTAGACATTTCGTTCCCATGAATGGTTTGAAGAACTGAAGCATCTCCCACTCGTTTCTTAATCCAGAGTTCATAGCCAATTTTAGTGTACAAGAAAAGCATCAGCATCAGTGGAAGAAGGAAGAGTATAACAAGAATAAAGGTCGTATATATCTTCTGATAAATGGGACTGGCCCATTCTTCCAAGCAACAAACATGCACTTTTTCATATAGAAAGTCATATTTAACCTGCAACAAATGCAAAGAAGATGTGTCACCAAGGTGTTTATCCCAAGTGTAAAATCCAAGCACATTCAGATATTCCTTGCTCTTAATGGAACAATGCAAATTCAACAGATTTTTTAGAGTGACAAAATTCTTTCACAAGCACTTTTCCAATCAAATATTGGGTTTAATCCAAATTGACAAAGAGAGGCTGGGAGATGCTCTGATTTGCATGCCAGAGGAGAACTTGGCTACACATTTTGCAAGTAAAGATGGATTTACAGAAACCTCACGTTAGCCACTTTAAAAAACAAGAAAATTATTAACATTTAGACTCACAAGAAGCAGATTGTGCCACGCCTCCTGCCCAACCTCCAAATGTGTGTGGTAACTCCTCAACTATAATGAGCAGCTAATTAATCTTAAACTAAGCACAGTTCTTCCAGATCTCGGGGAGAACTGTGTCATCCTGAAACAGCAATCTTAGCCCTCTATTCCTGTGTGCAGTGCAAAAGAAAGCCACAGTGCAAATCACAGATGTAACTACTGTCATTAGGGAGAGTAGGCATTAACTAGTCCCTGCTTGTATTCCCTCTTCCACAGTGCATGCAAGTTCTAATCCTTAACCTTTCCCAGGCTGGCACACAGAACCAAAACTCCACCTCCCTTACCCCCCTCTAATTTCACAGAGGCTGACTCCATTTCACCTAAAGGTCCAGGAAGATCCAGCAAGGACTGAGTTTAATAAGCAAATCCCCATTCGACCTAACCTACCTCAAGCCGTTGCACATACCACATGGGTGACCCAACAATAAGAGCCAGCAACCAGACTATGCCTGTAAACAAATACATTTTTTCATAGTTTGTCCAACAAGCAGGATTTGCTATGAACAGCTTAACAGCTTTGAAAAGTCAGGCAATTTAGAAAACTGTAGCAAAGAACAAAGTTTTCTATCAGTCAACACTCACATCAATAACAGCATGCTTTTTTGACATCAGCTTTCAGTTTCTCAAGCTACCTCCATTTACTGATATTCCATGAGAAAAACACTTAATCTGCATAAGGAGCATTAAAGAAATCTCTTTGTGTAACAAGGGAAGAATCATTTCCCTGTGACATATCTTAAGCAGTGCTTGTACGTTTTGAACTTTGCTTGAAATAAAAAAAAGAAATGGCTGCTAAAGGTTTATCTTTGTTAAGTACATTTTTTACTTCAGAAGCTTAAGTCCCTTGTGAGAGTTTTGGCTAGTGAATATTTTACTTGTAGGCCCTATCCTTGAGCTATTTTATAAAGGTCAATTAACTCTGCCTCTGAATCACTGGTCATATCAGAGGCTTCTGTTCTGCCATGCCATCCACACTGAAGATTATTTCCCACACTCAATTAACAGAAATGCTTAAAATCTTACCAAGCATCGTGAAAGCTCTTTTATTGGTGTACTGCCACTTCATTTTTAGTGGATGCACAATTCCCTGGTGTCTTTCCACAGCAATGCAGGTCATTGTAAGAATCTCAGTTACAATAGCAGTGGACTGAACAAACGGCACCATCTTGCAAGCGAAGGCACCTGCAATGATCAGAAAGTAAGGCATGCAACAGCTATTAACACCAGACTCCATTACTAAAAATAACAGACCAAGACTGTTAGATGCATTGTAACATCTAAACTGCTAAGTCACCTATTTAAGCCATTTGTCAATGCAGCTCTCCATAGCAATTCTGTATTGTACACATCTGCAAAGCCAAGATTTCTAAGGACATATTCACTTGCTCTACTACTGGTCTGACACTTACTCCTATTTCACTTTTGACCAGGTTTTCTATCATCTGTTTTCAACCACGTTAAGTTACAGAGCAATTTATTATTTTTTCATTTTGGCAGATTACTCTCCAGTTCATGAAGGTCTGAGTGCTACCTGTTTAAAAGTTTGCCTTTTCTGAATGTGTTCCTTAAGCTTGTTTACACATCACTATCTGTACACTTCAGCATTCAATGCATGATCCTGTCAACTGAGATACACAGAGGAGGCGGCGTAAGAGGAAAAATCAACCTCTTCATCATCCTTCTGTTCTCCAAGTCTCCCTCTCTGCTGATTACCAAATTATATTAGTGCTACTGTGCAAAACAAGTGCAATTTCCTGCCTGCATTTTCTAAGTTGCACAGATACATTGTGTTTATACAACTTCAACTTTTATTGCTGCCACAGCTTTCCAAAGTGTATATTCAATTCTTAACTTATCAGTCATTCTCTATTACTCATTCTCAAGTCCTAGCCATCTTAGAAAGTGGTACAAATTATTATGTAAGAAATCTTACCTTAATGCCCTTCCCAATCTACAATCTACTTTTCATTTACCCATTTTTGACCCTGAGATAATTTTCTCTGTCCGTATTTCCACAGTTCCCTTACACTCTTACAGTTCAGTATCAGCTATTCATTCCAGAAACAGTCAGGGTTATTTTCCTTACTAGACTATTTTTTATACCTTACTCAGATATAATCCATAAACTCAAAACAGCCTAAGAAGTATCTGATCCAATTTTCAGTCAAGTTTTAAAATGCTCCAGAAACCTTAAGCAGTAACAGCATAGAAAACAGACAGAAAACAAACAGAAAACTCTGAAAACTTAATCCTACCTTCTGTGAAGGGAACAAGGAACAGGGAAACTTCTACTTGATAGGCCAGGCTAAAAGCCACTCCAGCTTACAAGAAGGAACTGGTTTGCTACTGGTCTTACCAATTCCAGTTGTTCAAAAATCCCTTTTCCTGTGACTCCACAAAGGGAAGGAGAGGAAAAATAGCAATGGGTGAAAAGGAAGCACCTTTCAAGTATATATTCAACACAATGAATGTGCACACAGATCTGGCCTAAACCAGTTTTAAGTTCCTTGAATGAAATCTTAGCATGGCCAGTAGGAACTGCATGATTGAGGATGTAGGGCTGCATGTCTGTTTTTCACCTAGTATGCATTTTTCCAGAGCATCAGGAAAAGCAAGACAAGACATCTTGAATCAAATGCAATTTATAAAATAAAATTCCCCCTGCTTCTTCCTTGGCATCAGAAATGCCTAACAAATTGCCTCATGAAACAGAGCCAATATTTTACTAACTCAGCATCTCATCAGTTTCTCACTACACCCAGTACAGAATGTGCTGCACATACAGCACCAGACCCACTCTGTCAAATTCACATCCTTCACCCAGTGGGCTTAAACTTCTGTTGTGAGATAAAACCAAAGGCAAGCTCAAATCCTACCTACTCTGCACACAGCAAACAGTGAATGCAACCGAAGACTTGATTTTACATTTTTGCTTCACTAAGTTAGAAGGGACTCCTGCTACAAATAACAAACAGAAGACCTGAACTTGTTAATGAAATGCTTAAGTTCCTGTTTCACTAAGGAAATTAGTTCAAGTCTTACTGCTGAAGCTGGGAGAAAACTGAAAACAAACAAACAAACACAAAACAAAGCTAAAAAAACAAACTTTCACCACAGGCTATTTCTTACAGTTTGAAAAAGGCCAGACCTAAATTAAATCCATTTGAACTATACCTGCCTTACAGGGATTTCCCTGTAATGCACTACTCCTCCACTGAAGTCCCAGCATCCCAGGGTATTCTTAGGAAGCAAAGTAGTATCACTAATACTCAAGTAACAAAATGAGACAAAGTTTCACCATCAGTCTGGTGGAATTTCCAGCAGGTGCCCAGCTATTTAAAGAACAAAGGGAACACCCCAAACTGGGAGAGAACTCAAATTCCCAGATGCTCTTTGTTTTTTACAGATGTCTTCTCATTTTCTTCCCAGCAAACACACTATCAAAGAGCAAAGACTACCACTCACTGTGCCTTGAGCTGAACTTCCAGGAGAAAAGGCTGCGTAAACCCCCTAACTCATCTTTTTGAAGACACACACACAACAAAGTAAGCACTTAAGCTATACAAAAGTAGCTAAAAGCAAAAATCTACATAATGCCTGCAGGTTGAGCCTACTGAGCTGGACAAACAACATTAGCACTTCTAGAAATGGGAAGCAAAAGGATATTTTCCATTAGACATGGTTGGAATAGACACACCTGCACACAGCACACACTTTGGGGACTTGGAGGCCACAGCAAAACAGCCACAAAGTTTTTTTTTTATAAACAAGAAACACCATGATAATTTCAAATGAATAGAAGGTAAAAGCTAGTCAAAAAGCCAAAAATGTACCAAAAGTAAAAATAGAACAGAACTTCGACTTCCCTGAAGCTTCTGATTGCACCATGCAGAAGGTCTCAGGGTGCCACTGTTATTAACAATGTAATATCCCTTCAGGGCTCTTGTGCTTGCCCTGAATTACACAAATGCTTACAGTTTCTGAAATCACAAGACCCTCAAATGCCTTGAAATTCAAACCTCCTTCAAGGATAAGAGACTGTTGAGCAAGGAAGTGCAACCTCCTTCACACAAGTATTTAAAAGAGATTTGCCTGGGGGAAAAAGGGAAATAAACTGTTCAGAATGTCAGGGCCAACTGAAGAGCCATCAGCTTCAATGGAATTCTGACATTAACACGCCTGAGATCCATCCACCATCCTTACTGTGTTTGAATGGGACTTAATACTGAGATACCAGGAGCCCTTGTACTTGGCAGAATAGTCAATGTTCTTCACATCAACCCTCTTTTTAGTTTTCAAATCCATTGTTTTATTTGTAAATATACAGCAGCCATGCCCAACTGCTTAGATAATTACTACAGACTTTCTCCAAATCTTTCAATACTTTAAATCAAATAACTTATGTTTTCAAATGACAAACATTAACAGGCCTTTGCACATGGAAAATGAAATCTACCATTAAATAAGGTAATTATTTCAGAATAATGCATGCACATGTCACTTAATATTTAATCCATTTGTGTAGAACAAGCTTCACCTGCAGAAAGAAATTGATAAAACCCCATTCTCAAGTGGCTGTTAATTGAAAGTCTCTTATGGAGAAACTCAGAAAAAAGTGCCAAATTTTATTGTAAGGAAGACAAGGTAAGTTTGAGGAAAAAAAATTAATTACGCTACTACATCATTGTAAATACAGTGAAATTAAAAGAAGACTGAGATAGGCAAAAAAACAGCTGTGTCAAGCACATAAATTAAAACCATATCAAGTAAATGCTCACATTTGTGTTCAGACTTAACACAGAGTAACACAAGATTTTAAAGGAATATACTAGCTTAAATCTTTGTTATAATCCGGCAGGTAAGAATGTGGCTGTTTGGAACATGGTTTGGAGATTATATGACTAACAAACAAACACAAAGAATAAGAGCCCACTTCAGTGAGGTTCAGTCAAGGTTATTGAAATCTCACTCCATAAGTTTTCCCAGTGCTGGGTTAAAGGCTTAAGTGCTGGGATCACTTCAAAATCACTGGAACCATGTTAATTTCTGCACTAGTGGCAGTACAGAAAAGTGTTGACTCTTCTGAATAATTTAATAATTTAAATAATATCTTAAGCATGTACCAAAATGTTTAAATTCCACACTGTTAAGCTTTCAGAGAACACTTCCACTGTCTTGTTAGTCAAGACAGCACTGCAGCATCTAATACTGACCACTTTCAACTGGGAAAGTAAATCATTTGCAGCAGAACGCTGGGAATGAAAATAACTAATTGCTTCTCTTTTTCAAGAGACTAAAAGTATTCCTTATGCACTGCTTGCTAAAAACTGCATAGATTATTCAAGCAGTCAATAGTTTTCCCAGTAATAACACATTCAGAGACTGCAAATATAAATGGCATTCCCATAAACATTTTATGCCTTCATTATCGGGCATTGTGCCTGGAACTGTGATTTAAGTAATTTCAAATATCACTTCTTTTATCACGATTATAAAAGTAAAAGCCTGAAACTATTCTCTGATAAAAGTTAAATTGCTCCTTCCTCTGGTAGAATGCTGTTGATCATGCCCTTGCACTAGAATTTCTGTCACAGTTTGTAATGAGCTCTCTCCACCTCACTTGAAGCAAGCAAGTTGATTTTTCTCACATTTTGTAACTTGGGGCAGTACGTATCAGTCATCATCACACAGATGCTATCCCTAAGGGTGTTGCATACCTGGGTAATGCATTGTTTTACATAAGTTCTTGGTATAGATGCAAGATTTAGTTCTCATCCCTCAGCAAGGAATGTGTTCTCACACAGTGAAGTTCTAAGGTAACACACTGCTGGACACACGACATTTGGTAAGTAACAAAGCACCTTAAAGACTCAGCTGGGTAGAAAGTGTCAGTTTTTCACCAAGCTTTTACAGAAGAAGAAGCTGTCACATCAAGAGGCACCAGAAGAGCACCATACAGAAGACCCACCCCTCTCCTGAGGGGCAGCTGGAGGACAGACAAGATACAGGAGGGCACCTCAGTATTCAGGAGTGTCTCAGATGACTCGCAAAGTCACCCTCTGACACCTGTCTTGAGAACACCCATTCCAACTGATAAGATACAAAATGCACAAGAACATAGGGCCATGCTGGCTGTATTGTAAACTCAAGTTATGCCCTCATGTTTCACCAAGACTGTTATATTAGACAACATTAAATTAATTCTCCCGTCGGCCCAGGTAGCTCTGTAAAGACAACACTCAGCTAACTAAGCAGTGTCAGGAAACAAAACAACTGTTGTAATATTTGACCCAGAGACAAAAGCCCAAATTTATCTTTAATAGTGCTGCCATCAGTCCAACAGGACCACTACTGCTGCCTCCCACCTATGACTACATGAGAGCAAGTCCTCAACTGCTTCAGCTTGCACCACGACACGATGTATGGATGCTGTATGCATCCATTTACTCCCACTTGAGCTCCTGTTTCATTCTTCTTATCAATAAATACACTCCCAGAGATCATTTATGACAAAGCCACAATCTACATTTTCTTCTTCTGCATTACAGAGATGAGTATGCTGGATTTTCATTCAAAGCTCCCCATGAAATTACAGCCATTTCAGCTGCGAAGTTTAAATTGGAAAATCAAATAATATACTGTCACAATTACACTCACACAGCTACAAAGATTCTTAAAGACACCAGAGAATCAAAGGCAAGACTGGTTCAAATCTCTTTTTAGTCACTATGGTGCTGCTTCCAGTTGTTAACCCACAAAGAGTTAAAGGGTCTGTGTTAATGCTGCTTGATCATCAGGCAAAGTGAGGCACACTGAGATTTTTAACTGCAGGTGAAGTTAAGAGTGTGTGAGTGAAAATACGATGGAACAAGTCACAGCTTCAGCTACTCTGAAACTGTGGCTGTTCTTCTGTTTGCATTGCAGTGTTTGCAGTTCTCTCCTCCCCTCTCCCATTCTTCTGTGGGTTTCAGAAGGGGAAGAAACAGAAACACACATATACGAGCATGGAAATAAACAATCAGTTCTAAATTAAACACAAGTACAAAACAGACACATCTTGGTTCACATTGCCTAGTACAGATGCTTGTTTTAGTGATGCAAGTAAATCAAGATATAAAGGGACTCAGGGCTCAGAATCCCCAATCTATTAGCAGCATCAAGTGTCTCAGGATGCACCACTTTGTCCACCGAGGATACATCACAAGTCAAATCACCTTTTTCATAACAGAGTTGGATCTTGCACTACTCAGTGATGTGCATTACAGTGGATGAGAATAAGACTTTTTCACACTCCAAAATGAAAGGCAAAAGGCATATTAAACCAGTTAAGTCAGCAAGGAAGAGACTCTTCCAGGACTGGCAGGCTCTGATTTGCAGTACAACTGTAATCACCACTCACGCACAAAGCATCAGGAGCCAGATACCCTTGGGATACCATCAGTTTGTGTATTTGTTTTCCTCAACGTCACTTCACAGCCCCCATCCCCCAGAATAAAGGGTTAACACCCATCCATGATAGTATGTGCTCCAAACACTCTGTCAGTTCAAGGTAATGATTTCACCAGATCAAAAGACCTATAGATTCACTTGTACTGAAAATGCCCTAGCACAGCAAAAAGGGCAAGAAAAAAATACAGTAATCCCCAGAGATCACTGTACTTTAGCTGCCCAAATATTGAATATCTGAAGAGATTTGTCATAACTATGCTAGACCTTTACATTCACTACTTCTAGATTTTGTCAGGCACCCTCAGTAACAGTGTCAATAAAGACATTTTCCCCATACTGTTCCACATGCCCATGCCCTATCTCCTGTAATTCACCCCACACAGAGGTTTCATCTGATTATGATCAGATGTTTAGTCAAACTGACAGATCAGAGCCTTCCTTAGGAGAGAGAAGAATCAGAAAGGTTATCTTCCCCAAAACAGCTCATAAGAAAATAGCCCAGATATCCTTACTATTAGTCCCAGGAGCTCTGGATTCATCACTTCTCATTGCAGTTCATGTAATAAAGCCCATTTCTCACATGTGCTCCAAGTCTCCTCTGACCTGCCAATTCCCACCCAGCATTCTAGTCTGTGGGAAGTTCTGGAATTGAATCTCCATGTTCTGACAACCATCACTGTTGTCTACAAACAACAGAAACACAGTAAGCCTTGGAAATTGAAACATCAATGTGCCACTTTATCAACACCTTTCCTGATCATTCTAAAATATTCTGAAAAATATTTCAATTTGTGGTTGCACAAAATGTTGTCTCCTACTTGCTGCAAAACCACCCCTTTTATTTTTCCACTTATAATTGTCAAACACAGTTTAAAGGAAAAAAAATAAAAACAGGAAAATAAATACCATATACAATTCTACTGCGCCTTTCTCTGCTTGCTCTTTACTACTTTGGAACTGGGATGCATAGAAAAGAAAAAAATATTCCTTCTTTCTAGACTTCAGGGAAGCTTTGCCAAAAGGTTCTTCACATCAACAGGAATACAACATAGCTCCCAAGGAAAAAAAAAAATTAAAAATGTAAAAGGATGCATTATTTCAGCATATATTCCACATGTCCTCTCAGTCACTTGTTCCTTTAAGGACATTATTTTTCCTCACAAAAGGTTAAGGAGCACTGGCTACGAGCTGACCGCTGTCAGAGGAACTTAAGCTGTATAAAGAGTGATACCTCACTTGCCAGACAGATTTCATTACTCAGCGAGGAGGAAAAAAAAAAAAAAAAGAGAAAGTAGTACGGCAAGGCTTCCACACAACGAACCGCTTCCCACCCGCACACCGCAACTTTGAAGGAATACAAGCAGGAGGACTGGGTTATTTTAACACAACCCGAGGGAGGGCTGGAGAGGCCATCCCTCGCAGGGGGCGGGAAGGGGAAGGGTCCCTCACGGAGGGCAGGAAGGGTCCCTCGGAGAAGGGGGAACGCGGGTCCCGGCGGCGGCGCTGCCCCCTCCCCGCAGCCCGGCCCGGCACCCACCGCCGAGCCAGTTGGAGGAGATGTTCTGCAGCATGGTGAAGGGCACGCAGAAGAAGGCGATGAAGAGGTCGCTGAGCGCCAGGGAGCAGATGAAGATGTTGGTGACGGTCCTCATGGCTTTGCTGCGGGTCACCACGTACAGCACCAAGCAGTTGCCGAAGAGCGCCAGGGCGAAGATGAGAACGCAGATGAGGACGAAGGCAACCTTGGTGCGTCTGGGCAGCTCCGGGATGTACACCAGCGGCTGCAGCCCGTAGAGAGCAATGAACTGCTCCCGCGTCACGTTGTTGTCCCGCAGGAGCTGCGCGAACTGCTCCGGGGTGATGTTCAGGGACCGCATGGCGCCCGCTCGGGGACCGGCACCCCACCCTCAGCGCCGCCGCCCGCGCCCCGCCATGGCCGGACCACCGCCCGTCCGGCGCTCCCCGCGGCGCGACGGCGGCGAAGGGAGCGCGCAGGGCCGGCAGCTGCCGCGGGCGGCGGCGGCGCCTCCGCCCCGACACAAACTTGGGGCGGCGGCGCCGCCCGCGGCCGCGTCGGGCTTGGGGGGGCGGCGGCAGCCAATCAGCGCCGGGCGCGCGCCCGCCCCGGCCCCGCCGCCGTGGGGCGGCACGGGCGCGAGGCGGATGCTGTGGGGAGCGAGCGCGCGGGGAGCGCCTCAGATCGCCGCCCCTCACAGCAGCGCTGCTCTGTCACAAGCCCTCACAGCGCCGGGACCCCCTCACAGCAGCGCTGCTCT